AAAGCTGTGACAATGAAAACAAAAGTCTTTTCTTTATTCACTACACAGTTCAACATAATTTTGGTCAAGTAAGAAAGAAAGATGGTGGATGTTTCATAACTTGGTAGATGCCATTGTATGAGAAAGATTCAAGTAATCTGCGACAAAATTGCATGTTCTCCCGGAAAGAGTGAAACCCATGACCTCACACACCAGTCAGATACTCTAACAAAGAGCTGCCAGAAAACCATGTTTAAGCTTAATTAAGTGGCTAGTAGTTGCTAGGTCTGTTATAAACCTTGCTGCACAAGGCTAGGACTAGTTGTGCAGAAATATATGAGGTTACTAGAATGTTAAAAGCTTGTCCTTTACATCTATTGTAATTGCCTTGTGATTAGAAAGAACTCAACATCTATATAATTATACAACCAACAACCCCACTCACCCCCCTATCATGATAGAAAGGTTTTTTCTGTTATCTGTGCCAATCACTTTGTAATGAGATCTGTCATCTTGTAGAACCCACAATCAGGGAGAAATTAATTGTTTAGAGATTTTTACACATGGGAGGTTTTGGAACAGAGATACAACCTTCCCTTGATAGAAAAAACACCTTTATCATGAATAGCCAACTCCATCTCCTACCTCCAATCAATGTTGAAACAGACTTTGTCAGCACTGTCACATGGTTAAAACATTGGAAAAATGGGGGGGGGAATATGAGGAGAGTACATTGGACAAATTACACTTTGGGCAGTCTCACAACTACTTTGTCCTGGTCACTTCAACCAAACTTCTCCATCTGTTTCTGCCCTTGATGGGCTTTCCTAACTTAGACCCCAGCAGTCTGTTAACTTACTCTATGTAATATTTTCTCCCATCTGGAGTCCATGCCACTTCAAATCCAGGAGGAAGAGAGAGGTCCAATTGATTCAAGTGAACACCATTAAACACTACGAAAACAAGAAAGCATCAATCATGTTTCTCAGCTGTTAAATATAGTCAGACCTGTGTATGATCAGTTAAAATGTTTAGTGGTTGCTTACAAGCAGTTTTCAATCACAAGTGATTGAAGTAACCAGTAGGAAGGGGGGGGGGGACAGTGGGGTAAGAGCTTCCCTCTTCACGTATCCTGTTCCCTGCTTCCCGTACATTTATCACCTGACTTATGCCATTTTCTGTCCTGCTTCCCTTCCTTGTAAATTAGGAGACTCAAAATACATCCCAGTCAATTAGCTCCGCAATGAAAAATGTCATAACCTTTGACATAACTAATGTGAAAGGGTTCCTAATTTTACCAGAAGTAAGCCTCAATTTTTT